CAGGCGGGAACACGATTTAAACAAGATAACCAGACGATAATTTAGCTCGTTAGGTTGAAATTGGTCAGGTTTGTATAAGAGAAAAAAAAGTGTCCAACAACGGATAAAAATAACTCATTATTCAATTGATCAAGGATTTAAAATGAGAAAATCAGGAATATATGTTCCTCAATTCTCTTATCAAACTATATATTCCAAAAACAAATCCATGAAAGATGTAGGGTCAATTTTCGATTGCTAAAAGTCATTCAATCTTTCCTAAAATTCAAAATATCATATATGTCATGATGTGTATGTTAAAGTTTTAACAATATTTTTGCGCATTTTTGAACACGTTTCCAAATTGTACAGGCTTAAAGGTAGCCCCTAATTAGCAATTGTGACAGGTTACATATTATGTCATTTAGTACTTATCTTTAAAAAAGATAAAACGGACTCCTTTAGCAAAAACGAAATCTTTGTTTGAAGAGCTATATACTGTCATTCGAATATATATTTAATGATTTTGGTAAGAGATGACCTTCAATGCAAAACTAAACAAACTTGTAAAAATACAGCATTGTCATCAACAGTAATATGTAGCGCAGCATAGCAATTTTATTTTTTGAAAAAGTAAAATTGTTGATAATTGGTGCGAGAACATTATGCGTTCTCTTTAATTTTCGAATGTAGGTTTTAAAAGTGTCCGATTTTGAGCATGCGTATCAGACAAATAGATGGGAATTGGCCCTACTCCTTCACTTGTTTGTGGTATTCTTTCTGGCGAATACCCACGCATTCGTACCTTACAATGACTTATCTCTTTAAATTGCTCTGTATACATATCTTTATGTCCGGTTATTAGTTGATAAGACGATCCTTGTTTATTACACAGTATAAAGGATAAATTTGATTAGAATTAATCTGGCACACATAGGAGCTTCTACGAGTTCACAATGTTATGTCTAAAAACAATAATGGCTGTCACGGTAAGTCACAATTTAACTAAAGTTGCTGAAAATCAATTCCTCGAAAATCATTTACCGGGCAGTAATCAACCATATATATATTATTAGGATCTGGATGGGGTTTACAGAATAGAGAGTAAAGGACAAAAAGTGCAAAATAAAAGATAGAGAAAAAAGGCAAAAGAATAAAGAATAGAGAAAATGGGGTGCGGAAATATAAGGAATGGAGAATAATGGGCCAAATGAATAATGAATTGAGAAAAATATAAGAACAAAGATAAGAAGATTATCCCTTCCCCCAAGACCATACCCTCTTTTATATGTGTTGATCAAAATAGTAGGAAACGTGCGGAAATTAGGCAAAAGTGTCATACGAATATGAGGGTAGTAATGCCCTTTACCGTCAAGCGTCAAACGGTCATTTTCGGCTACCGTTAGCGTCAAATTGGTTAAAATTTTACCGTGATTCGTCAAAATATCCTTACCGTGATTCGTCAGAGGTCTCAAAAAATTATCGTTACCGTTATTTTTGGAAAAAAATTAACGTGAATCGTCAAATTCCGTCGATGTTTTTACCGTCTAAAAAAAAGTGTACATTTTATCGTCATGCACCAAAAATTACTGTTAACGTCAATTGGCAAGAATTTTTACCGTTAATCGTCATGATGGTACCCCCATTACCAACCTTGAATATAGCACAAAATGTAAATAACTAAACCAGACATACAGTTTACGTCTTTTCATATCAATATAGATACATTAATATAAAGACTATATATGTGAGATGTCATTATATGTATTAATGAAGAGCATAGCACAGCGATAGTTTAAGTTATTCTTTTTGTTGGCTATTATGTTATATTTTCAAAGTATCCTCAAATTAACCCCTAATATCTCCTTTTGTTTACACTTATCTGTAACTTTTACTTTATGTTGTGACGGTACAGAACGAAGAATATAACTCCATGCTAATGTTGTATACTCATATATATTAAATAGTATGCAAGTGAGCGTTCAGGAGATCGGAATTGTAGCTTATGATAATATAGACTAAGTAGTAACAGAGTCGAACAATTAATACCTAAAATTTGTTTTCAGCTAATTAGTTTATCGACATACGATATGGTTACAACAGACTCAAGAGGTGGAACACCTCAAGACGTGCCAATCTTACCACCAATACCATCCAACTATCACTGCTTGTCCAATGCCGACTGCAATACTAACCAATGTTGTTATAAAGTACCAAAATATCCAATTATGAGTAAACGTTTCCTCGAGCCACTTACGCCACGTCCTTATGGTCCTTTTGGGGATTATTACATTGGATGTAAGTTTAATATAGAGCTACTTTAACACAGTTAAACGTTTTGAATAGTGCCAAAATCATAGTTTATTTTGATTTAATTGTGTTTTTGTTTATATTAAATTTTCAAACAAACACACCTCATAACATAGAGCAAGAATGTTTGATTTATAGTAACCTAATAGCAATCATTACACCGAGAACACACTTTCAGTGGACGAAATTTGACTAGTTCTTATCTCAGAAACATTAGTAATATTCATGGACCAAAATACAAATATAGGACCAATTTACCCTGAAATTTAATGACATACAGGAGCCATTTTCATAATGTTTTTCAAATTTTACTTCAATTCACAGTTTGTACTGTGTAATTCTTACAAAATTATGGCTTATTCTAAACATATCACTAAATCGGATCTACCTGAAGTAAGTCCAAAACCTTAACTTTGATACATTTCGGCAATTTTTATTTAATTGTTCCCTAAAAAGTATATTAAGGTGAATATTCTCAACTCAAACCCAAATCATTTCGGTAAAAAAAACTATCTATTGTCTTTGGGATACAAAATAATTCTTTTTGGCTAATTAATGAAAAAAAGATCATGTAAAATTGAAAATGGAAATGGGGAATATGTCAAAGAGACAACAACCCGACCAAAGAGCAGACAACAGTCGAAGGCCACTAATGGGTCTTCAACGCAGCGAGAAAATCCCGCACCCGGAGGTGGTCCTCAGCTGGCCCCTAAATAAAATTGTGTACTTGTTCAGTGAAAATGGACTTCACACTAAACTCCAAAACATATAAATGAACTAAAATTAAAAAAACATACAAAAGCCATTTCAAAGCAACATATAGAGCTAAATACTCATTATATGTTATCAAAATATGTAAAATTGATGATAAACGCACCATTTGATGGCTTTAAGATTTTGACCCTGTGGGAAACTCATGTAAGAGGGTGTGGATGGGGGTCTACAAAATAGATAATAATGGGCAAAAAGTATAAAGAATAGAGAAATATCGACCCAAAAAATAAAAAAAAACAAAAAGAATAGAGAATAATGATGTGCTAAAATAAAAAGAAAAGAGCATAATGGGCAAAAAGTATAAAGAATAGAGAAAAATGGCCTAAAAAATTAAAGAATACAGAAATGAAGGACCCCTCCATCCAGCCCCTCATAAACGAAAAATCAATCAAGCCTCTTTTAAATATAGTAGGATGTGTAGTTCATCGATACGAATCTTTCTATAATAATAAATTATTGTTTGCTAAAAGATGTTGTCAATGACTTCGAGAGGGAAATAGACATAGGAAATTATTTTATCCAAGAAATCTAGTAGAAATATTGGACCCTTTAATACCAAGCATAATACACCTTATCGCTAATCCCGCTTGACCCGAGAATCTGTCCCGCTCGAACTTTTGACGTCATACAACAATCACTTTTCCATTGTGGCGTCAGCCATTTTCTATTATGACGTCAAAATTTTACGGGAACTTGTGTGATGTCCAGTAATGGCGGACAAATAGCGATAAGGTGTATACCAAGCAACACTGTAAAAAGACCATATGTAAAACAAATGTTCGGTTCATTTTAATTTCGACCTGTGGGCAAAAATTTGGTGGAATCATCTCTTCCTATATACAGTTATGAACCCAGATGATTCTTTACAGATTGCACACGTATTGAAGTTGTTGACTATTTTTTGTTGTCTTTTTGGGTACGTAATATTTTTTCAGCAATTTTTTAAGATATGGCGTGAATTTTTAGTAACAAAATCCTCCTACCAGTTTGGACCCAGACTGCAGAGCCTTGCAGCCACCAAGGTCCCTTCATCATCGGTAAATTCGCAATTAGTATTTTGCATATCCTTCTGTGATATCAATATCCCCCTCAATGTTAGATGAGGTTAGTGTAGCTTAGTATTTATTGGGATGTGTTTTTGAAAACTATTGTTTGTCTTTTCGTCATGTTTGACTTTTAGCAATGGCATTGAGGACTGCTGTTTTTCCTTTTGTCGTTTTTTGCTTTTAGCCATGACATTTTAGGTTTTTCTCCGACTTATGAATTTTGATTGTCCCTTTAGGATCTTCCGACAATTTTTGCGTGTATCTGGTTTAAAAAAAATGCAAATGTAAGTATATGGACAACAAACGTTATACTATTTTAGTCAATATTTGATTTCATTTTAGCCAAATGCTATAATTACGTCGGGGAAGGAGTTTTCTGTGGATATGCGCATTGTGGGTGCCTAGGACATAAATCATGCCAACTAGTACCAATTTCAACTACTCCGATGCCGCTGCTGTCAACTATTTCAATGGCGCAACGCGCACGGAGAACACCCCTACCAATGTTTCCTGGTTATGACTATAGATGTGTGTAAAAAGAGAAAATAAACTACGTTTTAGTCAAAAACTCATATTGTACTATTTAACTGTCCGACGATACTGTCATATATCTTTCTATCTGACCCTTCGATTACAACATGTGTATGCCTATCTCACATACAGAATGTAGCTAGCTATTAAAACCAGGTTAAACCCAATATTTCTCTCAGAAAATGTCCGTACCAAGTCAGGAATATGACATTCTTTCCGTTGGTTGATATAGTCGAGCGTTTGATTATTGCAGGTTTTGTGGAATAGCTTCTCCCATTTTGAATTTACTTTGGAGTTCGGTGTATTTGTTAATACTTTTTCTAGTGCTTTGTGCTGTTGAATTGCTGTTAGATTGACATATAACTTACATTTCCTTTTATTCAAATGCAAACAACAAAACCTTTTCCATCTGCTTGGTTAACTTTCAGTTAATTAACCGTTAAATTGTTCGCAATATTTGATCTAAAATGTCCGTCAATTTAACACATAAAACTGATATAATTGGTACAATCTGCTTATTATCTCTTTTAGTCACAAGAAAGTCATCGATCGTATAATATATGTTTTTATATCTCAAAAATGACTCATGGACCATTTCACTGTAAAAAGCCGAGGTTGATTAATCCCACTCTTTGCTCACGCTTTGCTTACAATGATCGGACAACGCTCCGTTCTACTTTCCGTTTTAGAACCGTTCTGGATCCTCTAGTTCGTCTTAACGATACACTCCATCAAAATAATGAAGGGTTAAAATTTTATTGGCAGATAAAATTATTACGGGAACAGAAAACATAATGGAATGTTGTCAGACCATATCAAGCGAAGTGTGGACACTCTTTTATTGAATAAATCCTCACTAGAAACGATACACTTCCATGGATTTCACAATTAAAAGACATATTGAAGAACAATTAGCCGTTTTAGAATCTATAGGATAGTGGGTAATGATTGTTCGTACCCTAAAATGAAAATTACGTCGTCATTGGTTGAATTCCCATTGTTTAGGGCGTCGTAGGCCAATCAAAACGTTTTGATGTACGCTTATGAAAATATTACCCAGAATGCATTAGATTCTGAAACGGCCTATTAGGCTCGGTACGTCTTTGACAGCATAACCTACATCAGGACTGTTTTGCCAGTTGTACTTTAATGATATCAGAACCTACGTTGTCGTCCAGCACTGTTCAGCCAGTTGTACACGTGTTTTATCTGAAAAAAATACCGACAATTTTAGCTGTATTGATATCTTGTAGTAAGTTGTCAAATTTAGTAGGCATTTGTCGTATGATAGGACAAACTAGTGAATTAGCTTTAAAATACTAGTAGCTCAAATTATTTTTTCCCGAAAACCCCTTATTGAAACAGTAAAATGAACTTCTCAGTATTGACTTCTTTATCAAAGACATAAAATATTTGTATCATCGATTTGGATTCATGATAATTAATTGCTGTTTGCTCAACGCCCATTAGTAAATACATAGTGAATATTCAAAGTTATTTATTAGAATTAATCCTTTTCTAAAATTTTTCTTATTTGTTAAATAACACTTTATTTTTCGCTGTCAGTTTATATTTCGTATTATGCTTTTTACACGGTACACGACACATCTGTTTAGTCCATTGTACTTTAAATTCAGCAGATTATCAACAGAATCTATTTGTATGTGGAAGAAGCGTGTGTATGTTTGAGTATTTCATATTACACAGGTCCTAAGTGACATTATATTAGATCTACACGGTCAGTAGACCTAATCATCTAATATGAAGAGAGAGCATAGCTCAAGTTCTAATATAAAGTTAAACGACCTTCTATATACCACATTGGTTCATTGACGACCGATCTAGCTATTGTATTCTACCGAATATCTCATACTAGTATACTTGAAACAAAAGATGACTGTATATTACTCAATTTAGAATTAAATGGATGTCGTCCTTTATCGGTCAATGTAAACGCTGTATATTAAATATATTAGGTCAGCACGTTGCATCGCTGAACCAACTGAATAATCTGAAATCTATAAAAGGTAGGATATTAAGTGATACTTTGCCTTTTTTTTTTATTTCTTATTCTGATAAATCAGTGACTTCTGTTCGGTTTCATCTTTGCCTGCTGGACATCTCGTAACTGTACACAATGCATTTACATGTGCGAAAAGAATACAGAAGCAAAGAGATTTCCTTCACTGAGACGCCAATCCTACGAGACACAAAGTCTTCATATATGATACATATTTTGCGGATAGTCAAGAGACGCCAATCCTACGAGACACAAAGTCTTCATATATGATACATATTTTGCGGATAGTCAAGAGACGCTATTCCTACGCGACACAAAGTCTTCATATATGATACATATTTTGCGGATAGTCAAGAGACGCCAATCCTACGAGACACAAAGTCTTCATATATGATACATATTTTGAGGACAGTCAAGAGAAGCCAATCCTACAGACCTTCTAAAATTCAAACTGACCATTATTCCGTGCGTTCATCGTGTATCGTGCGTGTTGCGTGCGTGTATCGTGCGTGTATCGTGCGTGTATCAATCGTGCGCTCATCATTCATCGTTCCGTGTATTTTCCGTGTAACGTGCGTGCATCGTGTATTCTTAATCGTGTATGGTGCGTGTATCGTGCGTGTATCGTGCGTTCATCAATCATTCATTCTTAACCGTGTATCGTGCGTTCGTCAATCGTGTATTTACTGTGTACATCAGATAACGTGCATTTGTCAAACGTTCATCTCTAATCGGGTAACGTTCATTCATTGCGGTTTTTATATGATAATCGGTTATAGAGCTCATCAAAGCTTATATTTTATCTAACGGTTAAAGTGTATATATATGTTCCGACTTTAAATACAATTTACATTCATACTTACTTTCTTGTGAACACTTAATTAACTTCATCGTACATAACGTTCATACAGATTCATGAATTTTTGTGTAAAATTTATTTATCATCTGTTAACATTTCGTGGTTTTTCAGTGAATCTTGGCTGGGACTGACACATTTTAATATAATGATACATGTTCTACGTACAAACAATAACATGATGACATTTCTACGACAGAACAGTTAAAATTGGAATTTCTATTCAACTGAGCGAAATGGGCTTAAAAATATACTGTTGGCCAACTGTTATTTGTTAAAAAATATTCCGCCAATTAAAAACAACAGTGCTTTTGCAAAATTTAAATGTGGGGTAGCTCTAAAGATAGAAACTGGAAAGTATGAAAGAAAAGAAGTCCACGAGATGACATGTGTTGTAGCTCTACTATTGAAGATGAACTTCATGTCATTTTAAAATGCCCATTATATGTAGATTTAAGACAAATTATGATACATTAAGCTAAACATTTTAATGAACATTTTAACCTTTAATTATCAGATAGCGAAAAATTTATATTTTTATTTAATAACGGCAATGTTGCTGCTATAGTTGCCAAAAACATCAACAATATTTCATTGAAAAGAAACGGCATTTTATTTCCTAGTTCTCAAAGAAAAAATGTTTTATTTTCATATAGTACAGGTGGACACTGTAAATTTTAAATGTAAATGAGTAAATATATTGTGTCTTAAAAGTCTCTCATTATTCTTTTTAAGATTGGTACATAGAATGCAAATGTTTTAATGTTTTATGTTTATTTCTGTGATTCTCATTTTATGTTTGTATGTGGTGAGACTATAATAAAATATTGAATCAGTATTAACATGATTAATGTTCAACTCTCCAATGTTGAACAATGCAAGATTATAATTCTTCGCTTATTTGGCAAATTCATATTCTACTAAATATTCAAACATTTAAGTTTTGATAAATACCATTACAAATATAATTTTTGTCTTCGTTTCTGATGGTCACGTGCAGGTAGGGTTATTCCATTGAGAAAATACAATATACAAGATTGTCGGGTAAATGTGGATTGCGGATTAAGATTTTAGATGTCAAACTTGAATTAACAAATTCAACTGAGGCGAATTTAACACGAATATGTATTTTCTCTTCAACAGTGTTTTTATTCTCTGTTCTTTATTTTCATTTAAAAAAAGCTAAATATGTTTTGTGGAAAATTGAATACAAATAAACATATGTATTTGAAGGCATTTTTTTAATTAAACAAGTATAAGATCACGCAAATATATCCCGTATTCCTTAAGAAGGATTTTAAATTGAGGAACTTTTTAAACTTGAAAAAATTGTGTTTACGAGTTTAAGATATTCTTTTTTATTTAAATTTTTTGATAAAATAGTTAAATGTATTGTATTATCACAACAAGTCTTTATTTAAATGGAATCAACATGGAACACTTTCACACTTTCACAGATTCACTTTTCATTGTATTCATGGTTGCATATCAAGGACACCGTTTTTAATGTATGTCTAAAAGATTAATATCCGAAAAAATAATTCACAATAGTACTTTGTATTAAAAAATGCCGGATTATTTTACCATGGGGGTATTTTTTGTTCCGTTACTGAGGACATTTTTTTGTCCTTTATGAATCCATATGACAATTTGACTCCAATAAGGATACATTTTATCTTATAGAAAAATCGGTAGTTTTTATCCGATAGATTTTGTGTTCATCTTTATCGGATATAAAAGATTGAAAAATACAAACAATTAATTGAAGTTTCGTATGCATCTATCACGATCCAGCAACTTTTGACTAGTATAAAGGGTTGCCTTGGTTTTATAGCTCAAAACGGTATCATTTGTTTTGCTTTACATTGGGTTAAATAATGAAATGTATGTTTCAGAAATTTACACAAGTTTGATTTCGGCTTTGACTCCCGGGGACACTGTCGTTTACAGTAAAAGACGAAAATCTACAAATGTACGTTCTTATAAAAAAGAAGTTGTGGTATGATTGCCAATGTTCATCATTATATCATAATTATTGTACTCCCCCGAATAATGAATCTATAATATATGCCACTGGACGTTAAACGATCAACTATTAATTCATCCATCTTATCCTTTTAGTTTTGTGATAATTTGCATATCAAATACATGAAACAACAGGGGCGGATCCAGCCATTTTGAAAATTTTAAAAAGGGGGGTTCCCAACCCAGGGCAAAAAGGGGGGGGGGGGGGGTTTTCCAACTATATGTCTCCATTCAAATGCATTGATCGTCCAAAAAAAGGGGGGTTCCAACCCCCTGAACCCCCCCCCCCCCCCCCCTAGATCCGTCACTGAATCAACTGCAGAGTTTCACTAAAGTTAGAAGGCCGATATTATTGCACATATAAAACAGACATTAACATCGATCCCTACGTTTTGATCCCCTCACAAAACAACACTTTATAAATTTCATGCATCTATAACGCTTTTCTGGATTTACTTTCACTAGGAACGCTCAATGCTAAATATTTGAAAGCCAAAGAATGTATAAAATGGATAGGAGTGTAGAGCTATATGACCAATAAAGGGCCTATACACATTCACAACATTCTGTGTATTTATGTGTCTGTCCAAAGTCAAAAGCACGTAGTTCAGTGGTTTTCGTAACATCAATTCTGTTATATACATGTATTTGGGCTTTTTGTTGTGGCAAGATACATGTAGCTTTGAAATAAAGAAGGCCGTTAGTTTGCTCAATTGAATTGTTTCATATTTTTTTCTTGTCGGGGCGGGGCCTTTAATAACCGACTTTACAGTTCCCGTATTTTTTCATTATTGAAGGTCGTATAGATATAACTTCTAGCATTCCTCTTGATTTGAACTGTCTTGAATAGTTGACTCACTAGCAATTATACCACATTTTCTTATTTTTACATAAGCCTTCAATCCATCAAAAGCCAATTTAGTCTGATGTAGCTGAAACCTACGTTTAATTCTTAAAAAAAAATCTAAATTTATATACTGACAATTTAAGAAATGTTTGTCATAGATATCTGTTCGTGATATAAGTATCAAAATAGTTTAGCTATGAAGATGTGTAAACCCTTAAATAAACCCTATTTCTTTGGGCAATACCTACGGGAATTAAATTAATAAAAACCATTATTAGAAAATCGGAATATATATGTGTGTATGACTCGGAGGTGCAATGGAGATCATAAAGTTTGATGGCCACGCGTGAAGTGCGCTGGTCTGCGCCGAAGTGCGATGAGCTGTTCGATGGTTTGCGATGGTTTATATAACGCGGGATACCTAGATTAAAGTCTACAGATGTGCAATTATTATGAGCGGT